ACAATTGTGTTTTCAAATTATATTTTGTTTTTAAGTACAAAGGCAAACTTAGTTCAAAAATAAACATTCGAACTTGAATTTTGTTAAAAAATTAAAATTTCTTTCATTTCGGGTACCAGAATTGTTTTCTATTGTTGTTTTGAATATGATTTTTTACATTGTATATTTCAACTAGACTCGTTACTAAAGTTGCAAATTTTTACGAGATATTATAATTAAACGTCAATACTAGAATAAATGTCAATATTTGATGAAAGATTTAGTGGCTGTCTAAACCAGGGATGGGGAAACTACGGCCCGCGGGCCAACTGTGGCCCACCGGAGGATTTTAACCGGCCGGCGGATAGAATTTTTATTTGCCGATCAGCGGCAAATATAAACAATATACATCCATTTTATTGTCGACTATGTTTAAAATTATTTCTGTTTTTCTTTTTTTAACAAAGTACTGATGACATTTTTACTTTCTCTATTTTTGTTCTACAATACATAAATTGATGGAAATAGTTAGCACAGACAGCTTCTATTGGTAAAATGTTGAAAGCAGAAGTTCTTTATAGAATAGCCGTAGGTTGGCTCCAACTAGCGTTTGTCTTTCTCGAGGAGCTGACTTATGGAATCTAATATAGGTAAATTGTACTTCACATTTGGCAGAATGCGCATTTTATGCTCCAAAGAGCGGACAATCTAACAATCATCTGAAGCAGTTGTTTCTAAATATGCCTACGTTTGACAAATCATTACCAAAAGCTAGCTTCCAAAATTTAAAATTTAACGCCCAGAAAATCAGTGCTATGTTAGCTTAATCTTATATACGTGAACAAGAGTTTTCAATTATGAACCTTAGAAAAAATTATTTCAGAAATAGACTAACAGAAAAGGATTTAGCCATGTTCCTTAAAATAAGCACATCTCACTTCGAACCTTAATATAAGGAGCTTTTAGAAATGAAATCGCAATTTCCTTCATCCCACTAAATATTTAAATTAAAACTTGTATATCGCTTTTTTTTCTTTCTTAAATTTTGAAGATCTGACTTGGCCCACCAAACATTTTTTTTTCTTGATTTTTGGCCCTCGACCAAAAAAGTTTGCCCATCCCTGGTCTAAACAATCTCCCAATATCTAACTCTTCAAGGTTTTGCCTTAAGATAAAAGCGAATTCCATGATCCCGAGATCGTCCGGTTGTATTTTTTCCCGTTTTTTTTTCCACTTAGTTTACAATACCATTTCAACAACTTGCCTAGAATCGGTGGTGTTCTTCACGCTTAGCCTAATGTAGTCGAGTTAAATTTAACTCATAATTGACTTCTTTGGTGATTTTTCATTATCATCATTCGGTTCTTCTTATTTTATCAGTAAATAAAACCAAAATCAAATATTAAAATAAGAACCATATAACCACTTTGACTCATTGCCATTTGATTAACCCTAAGTATTTTATGCAATAAACTTTCCACGTGAATTTAAATACATATCTCAATATTTCGGAAATAAGCTACATTATTGTTTTGCTTAACTGCAGAAATTAAACTATGTTTCGTTAATAACAAAAATATATCTTACATGAGTGATTTACAGAAATTAATATAGTCATACATAAATCTTATCATTTGTTTTTAAAAATTCGTACATAATATAGTACTTAAATTGATTTTCTTAATTTAATTAAACTCACTTTCTTAATTTAATTAAACTATCTCTAAATTGAAGCTCATTGCAGAATCGATTCATTCCGGAATTAAATTCTTTTTTTACAATAAATATATTTCTTTAGAATTTTCCTGAAATCTTAAGTCTTGCCCAAAAGAAAATTACAAAAAATAAAAGCTCTTATCATTTGAGCAAAATTAGTACAAAACTTAGTACTCAAGTTGATTTTCTTAATTTAATAGAAAAATTAAAAATCTTACCTATCTTAAAACTGAAGCATTCACATTTTTTTCCCTTGATATATATATTTCTTTCGAAAATGTTTTGAATCTGAAGACTTTCCCAAAAGATAATAAAAATAACTATAAACTACATGGTCATAATTCTTGTTTTTTAAGACAAAGCCAATTATATTCATTGACAAATTCTTATTACATGTTTTCTCATTTCCTAAAAGCTTCCTACACTTTATTTCCTTAACTAATTTTATTAAAACATTTTTTTTCAACCAACAAATGCATCAAACAAGCAGAATTCCTCTTTCAAGCTTTTACTCCTTTACTTGATATGTGCCCAAAAATAAAAGTGATTTATGGGTCTCCCTCTAAAGTCAGATAGCGGGTTAAACTCTTCCTTCAAAATTTAAAAAGAAGAAAAAATGGGGAATTTTTTAAAAAATAAAGACTCTTAAATTTGGGTTTGACCAATGTTACAGCCGATGCAATAAAAGTCGTCGCTCAATATGGGGAACCGATCATTAATCATTGAAAAGATGCATCTGAGCACTTCTAGACCATTTCGCGACGCATCTGTCAATGTATTCTAAAAAGATGAAAGGCGCATAGTTCAGGTTTAGATTAAAATCGCTTGATGAGTCAATATAATCGATTTATGCATCAATTTCAGTGAGCTGTAGCGTCAAATAAACAGAAATTTTCATGTTATGCATTCCTTTGACGGATTTGTTTTAAATATAACAAACATAATGATTAAAATTACATATAAAAGTTGCTACCATTTTCTTGAAATATTCATGTCGAAGAATTTTACATGTAAGATAAGAAACGGTAAAAATATCCCTAGAAATATACATCAGATCAAAAAGTGAAACTGGACACGTTCAATATTTTTGAAAGCCATTTTTTAAAAGTCTCGAAATTTGCCATTTTAAACAGCTTGTACCCAATTCAACTTTTCTCAGTTACAGCGCAATCTGTAAAGCAAAATGCATAAACCTACAACTCAAATACGGTTACTTTTTTCTGGAAAATCCGAATCTGCAATAAAAAATAGAGGTTCTTATTTAAAATTTCAAAGTTGCCCCACTTAGACCCCAGGGGGGATGAAAGATCGGGTTTGGTATCATTGGACAGCTTTTGTAAAATATGTGACAATTCAATTTTTTGAGCTGTTGTATATTTCTCGAGACATTTGGCCATTTTCAAACTTTTTTTACACCCTGTATATTAAACCTAATCTATTAAAAGAGATTATATCAAACTCACAATCAGTTTAAGCGTTTCCCAGAAACAGTTGAACTTTATTGATTTAATAAGCTTAGAAAATATGAAAGTATAGAAACTTTTGTGGCATAATAAAGAGATCAGTACCACGTTAAAAAGATCTACCAATATTTTATTATTGTCCAGAAAGATATAAGTACTTTTACCAAGGCCTAATGCTTTCTTCTCAATTTAGTAGTTAAGTTTCTATATCCCCCACTCGGTGCTTGCTTAATTAAAGTCTTATTATAAAGATTTAGCAAAGCGTTACTTTCACGCTATTTTACAGCGCCTGCGTTAAACTTTCCCACGCTATGCAAAAGCTCTCTATCCGTGTTCTTGTATCCATTGTTAACTAAAAGTGTCGACTGCACTACGAAATTATAATGCCAGTGCTTTTTAAATCATTAACGTGCTTTTAAAGCATTAATTAGCAGTGCCTAAAATATTATACAAATATAGTATTTCAAATTATTTTGCCAAACTTTACACTTTTCCAATGAGTTGTGATGTACCCCTGTAAAAAGTAAAGTTACATTCCAACAAAAAATAGTAATGTAAGTAAAACGATATACTCTTACGCTGGAAAATATCCCAGATCAAATTCGATATAAAGTACAAACATTTTGGGTGCATCATCTGCAAAACCTATTTCACCGTATTTTTACCGCAAAATACTGTATTATAATTTTTATCGTAATATTTATTTAATCAGTGATTCAGTGATCTTACGGTAATTATCGCTATCAAAATTACGGTATATCAGATTTTTTGTTCTGCAAAATACTTTGGTAAAAATGGATTTTACAGTAAAAAATACCAGGCCTCAGGGTGCCGGTATTTTTTATTACAGAAATGTTTTACAGTATAGAAAAAAAGTTTTGATGTGAATGCAGTGATATATCCCTCTAAAAATTAGCTTTGACACTAAAGTATTGTATCTCTATACGAAAGTTTTGATGCGAGCAAAATCCCTCAAAAAATAATGATGATAATAAAATGATATACCTCTATTAAAAAAAGTAGGGATGCGAATAAAATTGACATATCCGTATAACAAAAATGTAGAAATGTGAGTGCAATGATGTATCTTACACCTTTACCACTTTTGTATCAATGAAATTTTAGGCTCAAGTTTGCAGAACAAAATGTACCCTTTCGAGGTACTACGCATCGCTTATTTTAGACAAATGCAAATAAAAATAACTATAATAATGATGTTTTTACCTAACATACTTGAACGTTTGTCTGAATGTTAGAACACTTGTTTGAGAACCTTAACAATGTGACGACTCATATGAAAGAAGTAAAGAATGCGAGAAAAATTTATTTTCTCGATATGTTCTAAAAAGAAAAGCAATTAATTCCTAAAAAATTAAATACACCACTTCTTGTGTATTGAAACTGAAGTAATAACTAAAACAAAAATATTCCATTTACTGTATTAAAATCTTTGCTTGTATATTTTTTATGGAATTGCACCATCCTGTGAAAAGGTAAGCAGAAATTAGGATTAATGAATTTAAATTTAAAATTGGCGATAATTAAATACCTTTATCTATTGAAACTTTTCATTAAATAGAAAATGTACCACTTAAATATTTACAGCCCTTACAAATATGTTTTAACTGATTAAATAAACATAAATGACATCTAATTATTTTAGTTTCAATTATTTTTTTATGATAAACTCGTACATTCGTCTCTGTCAGAACAACATTTTATATTGACAATCGTTTATTATTCAAAGCATGTTTCTCAATAAAACATTTTAATAGAAAATATTGATAAACAATAAAATCATTTTTATTCTTCAACATTTTCTGTTTAAAGGGGACGCAACAATAACCCAGCTGATGTAACAATTACCGAAAAGCTGAAACATGACGTCAGAGCGTGACGTCACCGTACTTGCACAACTGAGAATCAGACAAAACGTTATCGGGAAAACAGTAAATAAAAACCCGCGGCCAGTTTCCGCAGTAATATTTATCTCTTATGTTTTCGTTCGCAACTGATATAATATGTAATGTTTCTTTAACTTTCATGACAGGTGCTTAGCTTACAGCCAATTTATTTATTTAGTTACGTATTTTGGATACTATTTTCCTCCTGATGGTCTTTTTTTATCACTTTCATTTAAGGTAAATTCATTTTTTCTTTTTCCTAACTTTGCTCTTATAATAACCGAATAACCAATGAAAACGCTTGCTAATCACCAGACGTGACCAATCAACAACCAATCGTAGGCAGAAGGGCGGGTAAGCAAAAAAAATCAGACTTATGTTTATTTTGTTCCGTAATTTTTTATTAAATTGAAAATTATTATCATTTTTACGATAAATTAATGTTAGTTTTTAAACATTAAACACGTAGTAATACAGTTTTACTACTTTTCTACTTATGTATAAAGATAATTTACAAACACTTGGTTAACAAAACAAGAAAGATATGCACATACAGTCAAGTTTTAAATTTAAGCCTGTATTGTTAAAAAAAATCTCTTTAAACTAGATAGCACTACACGTAATTGTATGTCCTTTATAGTTTCCCATTATTAATTTATATGATTAACTATTAGTTTCTGACGCATGTAACTATCGTACGCTTAGCTTACTATCTGGTTGAAAGAGAACTTTTTAAACTACATGAACCTACGTCTGCAGTAAAAATTAAGTCAATTTTTTTTTATAAGAAGTCACACGAGATTGAAATTTTTTTTTAGTTTATTCTTAAAAAAAATTTAAAAATTTTTTAAAAATTTGCTTTTAAATCTTGTTTTTCTTTAATACAAGTTTAAATAAAATTTTAAAATGGACAAATACGTTATTAAAAGATCTTGGAGTTACAGATTATTTTTTAAAAAGATGCATGTGCAATTTTTGGGTTTTCTGTGCTGATTTCCTAAACCGATATCGCATATGGAAATGAAATTTAGAATTTATATAAATCAAAGGTAACTTTTTTCTGAGAAAAAAGCTTTTTTCCGGGAAAAAAGTTTTTCAAAAAAAAAAAAAAAATTAAGCATATATTCTGATACCTTTACTTTATCATACTTTCAGCTATTTACGACTGTCCCTAGTACGTATTTTTTCAACTTATTAGATTATTCTTATCATACCACAACGTAATTAATTTAAATTTTAAGCATACTGTAAATCTAAATTCCATTTAGGTTTTTTCAAAATTTTTCTAGTAGTTTAACAAAGTATTTTAAATGTATTACCTAACTCTTAGACCTGCGCTTTGTATTATTTTTTTTTTCTTGGTCAGACAAAGTCTAATTTTGAGCTCGTATATTAGTTTGTTTGTTTTTAATTAAATTTGTATAATGCATTTTTCTGCAGTCTATCAAAATAGCAGATCACTTTACAGCAACGCTTAATTATGGAATTCAAGTTTAAATTTCAAGCATTTTTAACCAATTCAATATTAAACTTTCCAAACACTTTTTCTTGATCTGACAGCGTTTCGTTTTAAGCATGTATATTATTTTTCTAACAAAGTTAATATAATAATTTTTTCTTCGTCAAGCAATTTAGTAAATCAGAAGTGTATAACAATAGCATATTAACGTATAGTCCCGCGTAATTATACCTTTCAAATTGGAATTTTACGCCAAAAAAAATCGATTAGATATAGATATGTCTGATAAAAAAATAGAAAGTATTATTTTTCTAGATTCATTTTACTAAAAAATCATCCACCTATAACTAGTGAATTATAAAACAAACGCGTAAAAGTTTTTTATTATTTCTTAAGACACTTTTTTTTCGTTCCAATCATTTAACCTACTCTTTAGAAGGAAAAAAAAACTAGCTTTTTTTTTCTCCGAAAACAAAAAACAGATGAAGGGATTTTTTTTTATAGAAAAACGTTCTTATAATGAAATTCGATTTTTAAAAAAGTATTAAGTAGCGATGAATCTCAAATTGAAGGCCCTGCTGAAATTAACTATACTTCTCAAGAGTAAGAATATAGCCGGGGAAAAAATCTCAAAAACGAGAAGAAGAAAAAAAAAACGCAAACGAATGGAGTAGAGTTAATAAAACATAACCAAAAGGTAGAAATGAGTTCGTGTATTTTGTTTCTTTTCCTCAGAGCTTAGATAATAAATTCCATCCGCTATTTATACCTTTAAGCTGAAAGCAGAAAATAAGAAATCGATATATTTTTAGAAGAAGAACGATATAAAAAAAATCGATTATCCCGGTGTATTGTTAATGAAAGAAGATAGCATTGTTTGGTTTCCCTTTCAGCGCATTTATTGGTTTGGTAAACTTTAGAGTTTTTTCCCCCTCTTTTTTATTCAATCCTCAAAGAAGATTTGAGAGTTTATTAATTATTATTTTTTTATGATATTTATATTGATTTTGGCCTTTTTTCTGTTTGTTTTGAGTTCCTTTAAGAGGCTGATACAATAATATCTTGATAACACATATATATTTCTTTTTATTTCTTAATAAAATGGTTTTGGACATCAGAGTATATCAGCATTGTTTTGAATTATGTAACATTAATGTAGCATTTATGTAACATTAATGTAACATTCATGCAACATTATTTTAATGCAGAACAACATTGTAACTTATAAAATTATAATATTGTTTCAAATTATTCTTCAACGTTTTGATGAATTTGAATAATTGTTTTATTTTGTACAAAATTCCGGAGGAAATAAACAGTAAATTTGGACATATTCTGGTAGTTTTGACCGATTTTTCGTTTATTTAGATTAGTGCCAACTTATAAAGATGAAATTTAATTGTTCTATTCTTGGCCAAAGGATACTCTTTGTTCGCCAAAGTTCTATTTATTTGATTTTTCATTAATCATTCCAGTTTAACTTGGTAATTGATAGCTGACATAGTCAGTCGACTTAAAATCTCTTATAAGAATATTTCACAAGGGTATTTTAAAATGCTTTTTTCTCTTATAAGTTATAGTTAAGAGCTAGTTTCTCTTATAAAATCCTTATAAGGAAAAACAAGAATTTAAAAAGAAAATTTTAACATTTGAATGAATGAAATTTATTGAGCCGTTACACTATTGTAAATTGCGCTTCATTAGTATTGAGTAATTTCATAACGTCATTGTGGTTGAACATTTGAGATATCACTTTCACAGTACTAAATACAATTAGTGTCGCATTTAATTATTAAAAATTGAGACATATTACTTGAAATCTGTTACATGCAATACATTTTGTAATGTTAACTTCAATTCTAAAGGTGCTGTTCAAAAAGATATTTTTTATTCATTCCAATCAAAATGCAATTTTATCAAAAAATGAGAAATTTTATTTAGCTTAAAATTTTTCTCAATTTTTGCATGAAACTCAAATATTTAGCACGCCTTTTTAGGAGAATTTGGAATATGAAATTCGAACAACTTAATTTGCTAAGAAGCAAATTTAATTACAAGACTAATGTTTTAATTTTTTTCATCAGAACTATTTTTGTTTTTCACTAGCAACCATAGTAACTTAGTTTATTAAAAAAGCACTTGTACTAAATTATTTTTCATAACCTTCCGAAGATTTCTTTTTATTTAATCACCAGAAAATTTCATTTTTAACTTAATAGCTGTTAAACAAATTTTTGAAAAAAAAATTTATTTTCTCAAATTTTGGAAACGGAGAAATGGTTTAACAAAATATTTACCTCTTAAAATATTTATTCAAGCTTCAAATTTATTATTTAAACAAAAACATCCCGAGGCGTAATAAAATATTCACAAATGCCTGCTCAAATAACAAAAAATCATAAAATTACTTTCCTAAATATGCTTCTTCTAGCATAATTACAATTCGAGAAAATCAAAATTTTCCTAATGAACTAGCCTTCTACCATTGCTTTGCTCAATCCTCCAAAGGAACCTCTATTAGTTCGTATTCTTTACCCAACAGCTCTCAACAAATCAAGAAACTGCTGCAGATGTGAGAACATAATTACCGCATTTGCCATTTGCATGTCGGAATTTTGCCATGGCAACAGAACCCGTTTCTTCCTTTACACACGTTGCGAGCTGCAAGCAAGCAGACCCATTAAGAGAAGAGCGCATTTCTGATGTGTGCGGGACAACTTTTATCAAGAGTGTTCCAAATACCTCCCTCAGATCTTTCCCATTTTGATCAGATATTTGATGAATTAGGGACCGGGTATATGGGTATCTCACATTCTGTCGTCACTGGAGGGTTAATCGGTAACATTAAGCAGTAAGAGTAAAGGAAATGACTGTATCGGGGAAGAGTTTTAGGAAGTTGTTCTTTCTGCGCTGTTCGCTAAGTTCAAATACTAATCGGAATCTCAGATGAAAAAGATATTCGCTCCGGCGAAAAAGTTTGGACCGTAATAACTTGATAACAAAGGGCGGGAGATGATCGGTTATGTTTTCTTGTATCTTTGTAGTAGAATATTTTTCATGTTACGTGGAATACGAAAAACGAGGTGAAAAACTGGACACGTTATTTTTACTGACTTTTTCTGTATATTTTACAGTTTAAAGCTGTTTTGTTGACAAAACGGTTTTTCTTTGATTTTAATGCTAATCATAAATAGATTAAAACCGTCAGTTCAATCTCTAGTTTTTTTTTTTCCATTCAGTATTCCACTCAATATTTCTACTTGTATACCATTCAATATTTCTTATTCAATATTTCAACCTTACCATTTAATATTTCTACCTTACCATTCAATCTTTCTACCTTTTTTTTTAGATCATTTTGTGATTATTATGTTCTCCTGATTCAGCTTTCGGAAATTACTCTGTGGTTTCGAACATCGCATAAGTAAAAGTGCGATTCGACATTATTTTCAGATTTATACTCTGCCTGATTATTATATTTCTTTAGATATGATATTTTAGTCAGTTACTTTGTGGTTTCGAACATCGCATAAGTAAAAGTGCGATTCGACTTTATTTTCAGATTTACACTCTGCCTGATTATTATATTTCTTTAGATATGATATTTTAGTCAGTTAAGTTTCCAAACATATTTATACAAGAGGAGTCACTATGTTTTAAAAATTTTTACTCTTAAATAGTATTTCAATGAGTAAGACTTTTCATGCTGAGAAACTACATTTACGATAACTCAGGAGCAAAACTTCCGCCTTACAATGAGGTGACCCCAGGTTCGAAT